CTTTCCCGTAGCTGAAATAACCCATCGATATGCTAATAGCCAAGAATCTCGCAAGTAGTTAACCATGCAACCCAATCATAAGCGGTGGGACTCTCCCACTTAGAATGAAGCCATTTTTCACAATCTGGAGCTCACTGAAATTCCCTATCTCTTATTGACATAGCCTTACGCAATCAATTGCCAAAATTCTCGATATCTTACTATAGAAACCTATTTTTTTTATGCCCTGAAGCACTAGCAACATTCGCACGACCGACCCCTTCGCTGTATAACCAATAGAATTATTCGCAGAAGCCTCGCCAACCACGGGACCGCTAACCTGCTCACAGGAATAACCCACCTGTAGAATTCACTCCCCGGCATCTTCCAATGCTGCTGCACGGGGTACAATGACTATGACATCAATAACCCATCCTGAGTCCGAGCTCACTCTCCAGCTGCAGAAGTCCATTCACCCCTCATGGACATCAATTAAATGTGCGGCGATATTCTTCCAATTCAAAGTTATGTTGTATCCTTCCTCGTTCAAGAAGCACTGTCCTGATATATCAAATCTATTGTTGCATGATAGCCCATACTTCTAATTAATTCCGTAGGCTTCAATCGCCAGCCACTAAAATCCCAAATCATTCCAAACTCTTCTTAAGGTAGGTGGTCATCCCACTACAAAGCACATATGCGACTCTACCGCTCTCCCACTTTGGCGGAACTCACCCCCTTAATCGATTACTCAGCCTTTGGCCTCTTATACTCGGCCTTCCAGAAACTTTAGCCACCGCCTGACACTTCCTACACGTCCTTCCTCATACTTTGCTGCTCGCTTGCTGTCTTAAACAAAATCTATCTTCGTGGCACCTGAACCCACAACTGCTGCTTACTTAAACCTTTCCGAAGGTCATCTGTATCGAACCGACAACATTAGAAATACTGATTCAATCGCGAACTACCGCACCCTACGATATCTGACAGTTGTGTCTCCAATTCTATCTAACAATATCTTGCCCCAAAGGCGAATTGTAGAAGGTCATAACACCGACAAACTTAGCACGTTCAATTAGGACAACGACATCCCATCATAGAAGAAAACTCTACAACGCTTGCAAATACCAAGCCTCATTACTTCCACCAGCCCACATCTGACCATCCTTAGTTCGATTGTCCTTCCCCTCCCGGGAATAAAATACCGGATCTCTTGATTATACACTGAGTAAACCTCCCTTCAAGTCATTCACTGCCACGACACATAGGCAAAACATCCTACCCTCATTTCACTATTGCGGAACAATCATTCATAAGCATCATGGCAACTTGTGCCTAGCCTTAGAGCCCTCAGAAGTGCCATTACTGGGCTGAAACAATAAAATATCCTTCCACTAGGTGACGATAATAGCTCAGGCAACTATACCGGGAGAAACATCCCACACCATATTCATAATATCATTACAATTCTTAAATTCTCGTTGGATAACAAGCGCTTTGCGTCACGTATGATTTAGTAGGAAGGAAACAAAGGCATAAGCCTCACAGGAATCAAATCGCACGATAAGGAATCAAGAAGGGAATTACTCCCAACAATCCTGCAGCCTCCAGAGGATAAGTACAGACGTCTCCGTACCGATCCGCGAGACTCTACTAGACTTGCTCATGACTCGTGAGACCCTAGGAACCTAGTGCTCTGATACCATGTTGTCACGACCCAAAATCCACTAAGGGTCGTGGTGGCGCCGGACACCGCTGTCAGGCAAGCCAACCAAGAATGCATAATTGGATTCTAATTTTAGTGTTTGCGGAAATCATCTTTTTTTCTTATACGTTAAATATTAGATAATAAAAATTTTACAAAAATGAACATAAAGTCAATAAAAGACTTAATACTGAATAATCCAAAATCCTCCCAGAACCCGGTGTCACAAGTGCATGAGCATCTACAGATAAGGAAAATAAAATACAACATCCGTCCGAAATACAGTGGACAAGAAATAAATACAATATACTGAAAGGGACTATACTAGCTGCGGGTCGCCTCGAATAATGCAACTCACCTAGTCCCAGAATCATCCGCGCTGCTACGCCCCGTAGGCCACTAGGGTTACATATACCCGTGCAACAAAAATGCACAGAAGTGTAGTATGAGTACGTAAACAACGTGTACTCAATGAGTATCCCGTCTAATCTCGAAGAAGTAGAGACGAGATAGTTGACTTCGACACATACTAGTGGTCCATTAATGAGGTCAGTAATAAATTAAATTATGGATTTCTATAAACATGATTTTAGTCCAAATAGAAGGAAACAAGTAAAAAATTAATTCTCTTATAGGAAATTTCCAAAATTCCTTTTCAAAATTATCCAAATATTTTCAAGACATGAAGAGGCAATAGTAACTTAATTAAGTTCAATGTAGCAATACAAGCATGCGCACATCATGCCGAGGCGACGACCTGATCCAACAAAAATAAACTGTGCACTTGCCGAGGGTTGACGGCGCGCCTATAGATGCATCTATTTAATCTGCCGAGGCGTTCGACCCGTTCCAAAATAAACACATAGAGACATTCAATCAAGAAGCCAACATGGGGCAATTATTCAAAGAAAGCTAATTCTCTTTCAACAATTTAAGAAAAAGAGGTTTAGATCTTGTTAGAAATTCATTTACTATTTTGATGTGGTTTAAGCAATTCAACTATCCATAAGATTACAAATATTCAAAGTATAGCATGCTTTTGGGTCCTAGACTACCCGGACAATAGCATAATAGTAGCTACGTACGGACTCTCGTCACCTCGTGCGTACGTAGCCCCCACAAATAGGAACACATAACTAATTAACTCACCTATGGGGACAATTCCCTCTTACAAGGTTAGAAAGGAGACTCACCTCGCTCGGAAGATCCATAACCGGCATTTCACGCCCTTCCGAAGACTCTAAATGAAGCACCACGCTCCAAAACTAGCCAACGGTTACGCAAATCCATTAATATATGCTCAAATATTCATTACAATCTATTTTATAGCAATTCCTAACTCCAATCGAAAAGTTGACCAAAACGCCCACGGGCCCACGTGCCCGGAATCCAAAATTTTTCGAAGATAAAGATTACCCATGACCTTAGGAACTCAAATATATAATTTTCTCTTAATTTCATCCCATTGTGGCTAAATTCCAAGATTACTAATTTCCTAGGTTTTCCACCAGAACCTCAAATTTATGCTAATTTAAATGTTCAAATCCATACTTGGTTGATGTATTTAACTCAAAATATGTTGGAGTGACTTACCTTGATGTTGATGACGAAAAATCCACTCTTGAAAGCTCCCCAAAAATCGCCCAAGCCATGAAAAATGGAAGAGAAATGACCATCTCCCGATTTTTAAAAGGACTCACTGCCCCAGCGATTTCCGCACTTGCGGCCTCCAGACCGCTTCTGCGGTTCCACAGGTGCGGTTCTGACACCGCATCTGTGGTCCTCAACATGATGTCCCTTTTTTGCTTCTGCGTCTCCACCACCGCAGGTGTGGTCCCGCATCTACGGAAAAATGACCGCATCTACGGTCCCAGCCTGGCCGCCCCAATCCGCTTCTGCGATAGCCCCACCGTAGGTGCGGTCCCGCATATGCGAAAATATGACCGCATCTGCAGTCCCTTCTCTTCTAGCCCAAAACCACTTCTGCGGTCGATGTGCCGCATCTGCGGTCCAAAAACCGCAGATGTGGTTATGACAGCAACCAGCAAAAACTCAGCCTTCCCAAAAATCCATTTTCGATCCGTTAACCACCCAGAATCCACCCGAGGCCCCCGGGACCCCAACCAATCACACCAACCAGTCCAAAACACATTACGGACTTGCTCGAGGCCTCAAATAAAATCAAACAACGTCAAAACCACGAATCGACCTCCAATCCAAGCTTAATGAACTTTAAGATTTCCAACTTCTATTTCCGATGTTTAAACCTATCAAATCACGTCCGATTGACCTCATATTTTGCACACAAGTAATATTTGACATTACGGACCTACTCCCACTTTCGAAATCAGATTCCGACCCCGATATCAAAAAGTCCACCTCCAGTCAAACTTCTCAAAAACCTTCAAATTTCTATCTTTAGCCAAATGGCTCCAAAACGACCTACGGATCTCCGAATTCACTTTCGATCGCACTCCCAACTCCCGAATCACCATACGGAGCTATTCCACGACTCGGAATCCCAAACGGACATCGATAACACTGAAATGCACTTCAAGCCAAACTTAAGAAATTTCTTCTAAAATGCTAACTTCCATAATAGGCGCCAAAACGCTCCCGGGTTATCCAAAACCCAATCCGGGCATACGCCCCAGTCCGAAATTTCCATACGAACCTGCTGAAACCTTCAGATCCCGATTCCGAGGTCGTTTACTCAAAATTCCAATCCTAGTTCATTCTTTCAACTTTAAGCATCCGAAATAAGAATTCTCTTTCCAAATCAACTCTGGACTTCCAAAAATTCAATTCCGACCACGCGTACAAGTCATAATACCTGAAATGAAGCTGTACATGACCTCACACTGCTGAACGGAGCGCTAGAACTCAAAATGACCTGTCGGGTCGTTACAATTTCTAAAAATGCAAAAAGTTTTTTTTTTGACGAAATTTTAAACGTTTATTCCATCAAAAAAGTCATTACAAAACTAGATTAACGCTGACCGCTCTCCATATGCAGTAGACAACCATTGCAAAGACTGCCATGGTCATTTCTGCAACAATCATTCTTCTTTGCCACACCACTTATCCAGCTCACTTCCTGTGCCCAGTTTTGGATCTGCCTTCTATGTCCTAACCAATTGAGAATTCTTTCCCACAATACTTTTTGTATACTGACATTTAAAAAATAGATGCTCAAAGTTTTCCTCATTCTGTCCACAGAACACACATTCTGCCTGCACTTGTAACCCAAACTTTGCAAGTCTATCGACTGTTGCTAGTCTCTGATAGATAGCTAACCATAAATGGAAATTAAACCTTAGATGAACTTGTGAGTGCATATGAATACTCTTCCATTCCACTTTTGCACATATGCCTTTTTGATCTGGAACTTGCCTTGTTTCTCAAACTCTCTCAAAATTGATGTAATATCTGTTTGGTTTGTCCTCATCTTCAGTACATCTTCCTTCATTTCAATAATCTTCCTCACCACCCATGCTGCATTTTTTGGTGTATCTATGTCTTCAATTCTTCTATTCTTTATGTAGTATATGTGAGCCCATCTAATCCATAGTGTATCCTTCTTCATAGCCAATGCCCATAAGTGTTTCATCACTGCAGCTTTATTCCAAGTTCTCATGTTGATCACATTCAATCCCCCTGTACTTTTAGGTTGGCAAATTTTGTCCCATGCTATAAGAGCATTCCGAGATATTTCAGTTGATCCAGTCGACAGGAAAGTCCTGCACACAGCCTCCAGCATTTTCATAATCTTCTTTGGAATCAAGAATATTTGGGCCCAGTATGTTTGCACACCAAATAGCACTGATTTGATCAGTTGTAATCTTCCAGCATATGATAACATCCTAGCAGAGCAGCACCTCACTCTATCAGTGATCTTCTCAACCAAAGGCAGACATTGGTTTATGTTCAGCTTCCTAGTCGACAATGGCACTCCCAAATATTTAAAAGGTAGGTTGCCCTTTATATAACCAGTAAGTTGCATAATCGCTTCTTGCACTTGTTGATTAATCCCAGCCATATATATTGAGCTTTTCTCCACACTTGCTTGCAATCCTGATACTTTTGAGAACTTGTCAAAAACATTCTGTATTGCTTGAATAGATTTTGTGCCTCCCCTGCAAAACATTAAGAGATCGTCAGCAAAACATATATGTGTTACTCCCAGTTTCTTGCATTTAGGATGGTATTTGAACTCCTTCTGCATCTTCAAAGTATTCATCTCCCTCTGCAAGTACTCCATTGCAATTACAAATAGTAAAGGAGACATAGGGTCTCTTTGCCTTATCCCTCTCCTAGCAGGGAAAGGTTTTGTGAGCCCACCATTGAGTGTCAATGAATATGACACTATTGTCACACACTCCATAATCCAACCAATGCACTTATAAGGAAATCCCAGCTCTGTAAGCATCTGCCTTAGAAATTACCAGTCAAGTGAGTCATATGCTTTCTTGAGGTCAACTTTGAGGATGCACCTTGGTGATACTCCTTTCCTGTTGTACCCATTGAATAGTTCATGACTAAACAACACATTATCCACTATGTTTCTCCACTCTATAAATGTTGATTGTGCTTTCCCAATGAGACTGTCAATCACCTTCTTTATCCTTCTTGTAAGAATCTTTGCAATAACTTTATACACTATAGTACAACAAGCTATTGGCCTATTGTCCTTCACTGTTGTAGGAGCTGAACCTTTAGAAATCAGTGTTATTGCACTTCAATTCCAAGCTTTCTGCATTTTACTTGTTCTTAAAAAATAGCCCGCTGCCTCATATACATCATTGCTGACTTCTTGCCAATGTAACTTAAAAAAATTCAACTGGAAATCCATCCACTCGTGGTGCTTTGTCATTTGGCATATCCTTGATTGATTCATTTATTTCCTCATGCGTTACTTCCTTGATTAATTCCAGCTGTTTGTTCATTGACAAACACACTCCTTCTTTGATGATCTCTGCATTTGGGCAATGTTTGAGCCCATTGTCTGTCCCCATGAGCTGCTTGAAGAATTCAACAAATTCCTTCTCTATTTCTATTGGTTCTGTGACTCTTATCCCTCCTGCATTGTATACAGAAGATATAGAATTCCTAATTGCTCTCATCTTTAATTGAGCATAGAAATACTTTGAGTTTGAGTCTCCACAATCAATCATATTCACTCTCGACCTTTGCCTCAATATCTTTTCCTCAACTGTGCTCCACTTCTCTAACTCCTGCAGTACCACTTTTTCATCCACAATCAAGACTTGACATAATGGATTTATCTAGACTCTTCTGAACATATTCTAATTTTTGTCTTGTTTGGTTCAGCCTTCTCTCATAGCTCATCATTTCCTTATTCAAATCTTTTGACTTCATCTTCAAATCCTGTAGTTTCCTCCATATTCATTCCATGGGATCACAGTTCTTTCTCTACTTCCATACATCCACAACCATAGGTTTGAACTCACTATGCTCCATTGTTACCATGTACATTTTAAAAGGTCTGTGATACATATTCTTCCTTTGCCATATCTGGAGCACTATAGGGGAACGATCAGATATTCCAGGTTCCAAACAATCAGCTTCCACATGTCCATAGTCTCTGATCAACTCAAAATTTCCAAGCACCCAATCTATTCTACTATAAACTCTATCAGTTGCTTGTTTCTTGCTGCACCAAGTGTAGAAACAACCTTTTGTCTTCACAGGAGATAGTTGCAGTGCATCAATACACTCTTTAAAATCCTTTATCTCATTCATAGTGACTGGTTGGCCCAGTCTATCATCTGAACGTAGCACATTATTAAAATCACCACTTATGATCCATGTCATTTGAATCACCCCCTCATTGCTTCCAGTTCTTTCCATAAACTAGTTCTCTCTTGAGCTTTGTTCCTTACATATACCACTGACAGCATGATCTGCCTCCCATTTGTTGCATCAATTACTATAGTGAATACATTGCTCATGAACTTTCACTACATCCACTGATAGGTTTTGTTTTCAAATCACCCATATTCTACCATTTTCTGCATGCTCATAATTGCATCTGTATCCCCAGTCCTTTACTATTTTGTACAGAATTTTTTTTGACTTTTTTTCTTTAACTCTAGTTTCCATACATCCTAATACATCAATCTTATTCTTTTGCAAAAAGATTTTCAGCTCTTTTTGCTTATAGGGCTTGTTAAGCCCTCTTATGTTCCATGTGCTTATTATCATGGTGGTTGTTGTACCCTCTCCTGCACCATAAAAAAATGCAAAAAGTCAAAAGGGTAAAACCAAAAACCCGCGAACTAAAAACAAGACCTTGGACTTATACTTATATAAAATTAAAAAAAGGTAAAAAGAGTATAACAGAAACTCGAGAGAATTAGGTTGAAACGGAAACATAATAATATTAAGTTTAAACTAAGTACGAACTTAGTTATAAACTGATTGTCATTTTTACAAAAAACCCCGAAAAGACCTGGGGACTTTGTCACGAACCCAGTTTTCCCTCCGTGAAATATCGTGACGGCACCTAGTCTCTACGACTAGGTAAGCCTAACAAATTACGGAAAAAGAAAAAAATAACAGAATAAAACTAGCCAAAACTGCAGAAATATGAAAATGAAGCGTTAAGATGCCGCTTGGCATTTACAATACGACTCACAAACTGAAACTACATTTCCCAAAACCTGGAATCTCATGAAATCACAAGCTGTTGAATAACTACAAATTTCTAACTCCAGAATGTCTAAATAAAGTAAGTACAGAAGGGCTAATACTATAAGAGAGAATGGAAAAGGGACTCCTCGGTCTACGGACGCGACAGATATACCTCGAAGTCACTGGAGAATCGCCTCGCCTCAAGGGTAGTAGGGCTGAGTCGAAGAACCTGGATCTGCACATGAAAAACATGCACAGAAAGGGCATGAGTACACCACAGCGGTACTCAGTAAGTGCCAAACCTAACCTCGATCGGGTAGTGACGAGAAAAGTCAGGGCCCTAATGAGTTTAGATGAGAAAAAGGTATAACAATATAGAATAAGACATCATAATTAAGTGCAAACAGTAAGAAGTAACACAGGATAGTAAGAACAACAACAACTACAACAGAGACCAAAAATAATCACAGAAGGAATACAGGTCAACATAGAGGTGACAACCGGGGATCTCCCATGATACCGTCCTGTAGTCCAAAATATAAATATCCAGTGGATCTCCTGGGTGTTGTCCTGTAGTCCAACTTATAGTGCACGGGGATCTCCCGGAATACCGATCCGTAGTCCCAAATGTAAATACCCATTTCTAGAGGAATCTACCGGGTGCAGCCCCGTAGTTCCAATATACAAGTGCAGGGGATCTCCCAGAATACAAATCCGTAGTCCCAAAGTAAACACGCGGGGGGCAGGGGAGTGGGGATCTCCCGGGATACCGTCCTATAGTCCCAAAGTAAACACATAGCAACAACACGAAGAATATTCAATTAAATCCAGATTTCATACCTAGGTAAAATAGGTATTTCTGACCTAGCATGCTGCACAGAATTCAATTAAAGAAATTTGAGAAAGTAAGGCAATTAAGTCAATTAGACATGCTTCCCTAAGCTAACAGTAGGCTTAAATTGCAAGTAGTACAAACAGGAATGGAAACACAATTATAGTTACTTAATGAAAACAAGATTTTCAACAATTAGCACAAGTACGCACTCGGCACCTCACGTACAAGGCATTTCAAATATCAACAAATACCAAATCCTACGGAGAGTTCCCCCACGCAAGGTTAGGCAAGCCACTTACCTCGAACCAGCTCAAAACCAACCCGAAACCACGTTCTTTCCACGAGTACTTGACGCCAAATGGCTCAAATATATTCAATTTAATTGCATAATATAAATATACCTTCAAGTAACTAATTCCACAAATAAATTCTAAGCTAATACGCAAAATTATATATAATGACCAAAATGCTCCCCGGGCCCACGTATCGAAATCGGGTAAAATTTATAAATTCAGAATCCCCATACTCTCACGAGTTCATTTATACCAAAATTATTCCAATCCGACATCAAATTCTAGATCAAACCCCAAAATTAGGCCTAAGAACTTTTCCATTTTTTCTCCAATTTTTCCACCCCAAATTCAAATTTAAAGGATGAATTTAAGCATAGATTCGTGGAAACTAATCAAAACCGAGTAAGAATTACTTACCCAAAACACCCAGGTGAAAATCTCACTCAAAATCTCCAATCCCGAGCTCCCAAATCAATTTTCCAAGTTTTGAGACTAAACCCTCATTTCTACCCTTTTTTTGACCACTAGAACCGCATCTGCGGCCTTGGGAATGCACCTGTGGCCCCGTTTCTACGAAGACCAAGTCGCACCTGCGACTTTTCATTAAACAGGGACTTTCCGCACATGCGACTTCCTTTCCGCAGATGCGGTACTGCTTCTGCGGTGCCTTGGCCGCTTCTGCGTCAAATCCCCTTTCGCCTCAAACCGCATCCACGGTACTTCAGCCATTTTTGCGGGCTTGCACCTGCGGTCTTCAAGCCGCAGTTGCGGTTATGACAGCAGACTCAGCAGCTTCAGCTGCAAATTCTTAACTCCAAACTTCCCGTTAACCATCCGAAATCATCCCGAGGCCCCCAGGACCTTAACCAAAGGCACGAACTAGTCATATACCACTATCCCAACTTGTACCAATCCTCGAAAAACCTAAAAGAACATCAAAACATCGAATTAAACATGGATCCGAGCCTAAGAACTCCAAAACTCTCAAATTACGCTTTCGATCAACAGTCTATCAAACCTTGTCCGAATGAACTGATCTTTTGCACACACGTCACATTCAACATTACGGAGCTACTCCAACTTTCAAAATTCCATTCCGACCCGTAGATCAAAATCTCACTATCGAACCGAAAACTTCAAAAATTAAACTTTCAACATTTCAAGCCTAAATATGCTACGGACCTCCAAAACACAATCCGAACACGCCCCTAAGCCTGAAATCACCCAACGGAGCTAACAAAACCAGCAAAATTCCATTCCGAGGCCGTCTTCACACTATTCCGACTGAAGTCCAAATTTTAAGACTTAAACTCTCATTTAGGGACTTAGTGTCCCAAAACTCTCCGAAACTCCAAATAAACCTTCCTGGCAACTCACAATAGCATAAACAAATCCAGGAAATGCAGTTAATAGGGGATCGGGGCGTTAATTCTTAAAAAGACCGGCCGGGTCGTTACAGACTTGCTATCACCAAAAACATAATCCCCAAAATGGGACCAGGGGTAAAACCACCACATATGCCACCAAAAAAAAATAAAAAAAGAGGAGTCAAACTTCACAAACAAACTTACACTGTGGAGCAGGAGAAGGGTTCAAAACAACATCATCAGCAATAAAAGGCTCGACTTGATCTGAAGGTTTTGGGACATCCACCGCACTAGAGTTAGCTTCACGTGCTCGGGAGTATAAGCCATGGGAGAAGAGAAACTTTGGCCTTGCTGAGTTTTCTTAATGGCCTCTTTAATCTTTGCTAACTCAGCACCTAAGTTAAAACCTTCTTGGCTAACCTCCGTAAGGGTATCATGGCGTGTGTTCAATATAGCCCAACTTACTTCGACAACAGCTTTGTCCTCAACAGCCTCGTAGTCCCTTTTCCAATGGTCAATTCCACTCTTGAGCTCCTCCCTTTCAGCCAAAACAACATCGTAAGAAGACTGTAAATGGACAAGTGAACTCTCCAAAAACTTGACCTTATCAGAAGACACATGAAGATCTTCTTGGGTATGAGTGAGTGTTTGAACAAGTTCTCCTACATATACTTCTTTCTTGTTCAACAAGGCCTTCAAACCTCTGATCTCCTCGGTGGCATTGGAGAGTTGTGCAGCAAATGATGACTCAAGGATAGTTTTATCCTTGCCTGCCTAGTTGGAAGAAGCTTTTTCAACTGCTAACTCCGAAGCCATGACCATCAACTGCTGCTCTAAGGTACATTTACTTTATTCTAAAACTTCCATATCAAGCTGAAGACTTTCATATTGTTCTTTCCAATTGTCTGCCTCAATTTGGTAATCATGCATTAACTGCTCTGTATAAGAAACCCTTTTCATCATCTCCGCACCGATGAGATTGATCTAAAACAAAGGGGGGGGGGGAGGTAAGAATCTTTGTAAAAGGAGAATGAAATAAAGCATGAAAAGAAATTAATACCTTGAGTGATGACTGCACGATATCATTCATCCAAGCCAGAGAACTATGACTTCTAGTTTGGACTTTCCAACCGGACCAATCAAGGGTTTCAACCATACGTCAGCCCGACTTGACTTTTTCAAAAGACTACCATCAGCAGGGACTTCAATGGTAATCTGCTTCATCACTCTACTTTCACTTGAAGAACCGACATCAGTGTATGGAACAATAGTAGTGGGGACTGTTGAGGAAGTCATAATAACTTGCCGGACAGGAACAACAACAATAGAAACGGGTAAAGAGCATTCCTTCGGGACAGACATGGGGAAAGAGGAAAGAGGTACTTCATCAGACACCAAATCAAAGCTTTCACTATCAAACCCATGGGAAAAAATTGTTCATTAGAGTCACGAGCTGCCATAGGAGTATCGTCATTAGAACTCACTAAGGTGGCTTCAACAGGCTCGGTCAAAGGAATTGAACAGGGAGTAGCAGCTTCGTCATCTGAAATGACGCGTCTTCTAGCATGCGGCTTTTTAACCAAGGAACTTTCATCCCGTTCCTCTTCCTCTTCAGAATCCTAGGACGCATCAGATTTTCTTTTTGATGAAGAACTCAAAATTATCTCTTGAGCTCTTGCCAAAGAAACCCTGGAAACTACGATTGACTCGCACTTACACCAC